AACTGCACCAATGCCCAAGCATGGTCAGGGTGTTAATGCCATTGATGATGACCTGTTTGTTTCTTCTGATAATGAACTAGCTGCTCCTTTTCCGATTGTTAAGAAGAATCTCTTGTGAGCCAGTTTATTTTCGGGCTGTGGTGAAGGTTGCCACTTGTGTACGTCTCTACCCAATGGTTGCTTGTTGTTGAAAATAGGTGTCCAACGCCTGATGGACAACAAGAAAATTTTGTTTGAGAAGACTCCCTCTAGGAGAAGTCTGTGTGAAGATATATCAATTATTACCATTTCCGACAATCCTCCCAGGGTCTCCTCCAAAAGACCTGTGAGGATTACATCCACTCCTAAGGTTTCTCCTTTAATTATCACATTTCCAGGGCCAATACCATATTCCTCCGACAAGGTTGTTCCTTGGAATTATGGAGCCGATGTCTACTACCATGGCGTCAAACAAGACCTCCTGGCCATTAAGAATGAAGTTACTAAAGATACTGATCCTGACATCGACAACATTGTTGGGACCAGTAAAATTACCAGAAGTGGAAGGGTTTTCTCTCCTGAAATCTCCCCAAAGACTGTTGTCACTCCTTTGGTTATTCTTGCTAAAACACTTGTTGCTCCTGTTGTTATTATTGATGCTGAGTCAACTGAGACTTGGGGCAAAGAAGTATTGGTTGATCCTGCCCGGATGGAGGCACCCAAAGAAGCCATTCCTGAAGCCTCCAAACGAGAAATGAAGGAAATTTTGAAAATCATACGGAAGAGTGACTATGATGTTGTGGAACAATTGGGATAGATACCCTCAAAAATTTCAATGCTGGCCTTGTTATTATGCACTGAAGCCCATTCTAAGGCTTTGGTGAAGTTCCTAAAGTCGGCTCATGTGCCGGAAGAGACTTCTGCCGACCAATTCGAAAACTATGTTGCTAGTCTGACTATTGACAATGGACTTGGTTTCTCCGATGCTGATTTGACGTCTAAAGGAAGAAAGCATAATGATTCCCTGCATGTCTTTATTGAGTGCAAGGGCACTACCCTAGCTCATGTTCTAGTTGATACTGGTTCGTCGTTAAATGTTCTACCCAAGGGTGCTCTACACATATTGGACTATGAAGGACTGACTTTAAAGGCCAGTAACATTATGGTGAGGGCTTTTGATAGTTCCAATAGAATGGTACACATGGAGGTGGACATTCCTATTAAAGTCGGTTCCCAAACTTTTGGCTCCACCTTCTATGTGATGGACATTCGCCCGTCTTACTCTTGTTTGTTGGGACGCCATTGGATTCACGGGGCCGATGCTGTCACTTCCACCTTGCATCAGATGTTAAAATATTCGGTTAATGGAAAGATTGTTACAGTCCATGGAGAAGAAGAGTATATGGTGAGCCATCTGAAATCTTTCTGATATGTCAAGATGGACGACGAGTTCATCGAGACCCCTTGTCAGAATTTTGAAGAAGTTCCTCAGACAATTGCTATTATCAAAGCTGCCATCGCTGTTCCAGAGATTACCAGACCTCCACTGAAGATGGCTTCCCTAAAAGATGCTAGGGCTATATTCGAAGAAGGTGGGTGCACTATTTGGGGCCAACTAACTGACATCCACTATAAGTCTGACAAATTTGGTTTGGGTTTCACTTTAGTAGCTCAAAAAGACATTCGTCGTGCTCGCGCCGGAGGACCACCACTACGCATCAGCAACCATGAAGTTAATGCTGTAGAAGACGCTGTTAGTAACTGCGACCTGGACAATTGGATCTTCCCTGCTACCGACGGTGGACTCAATAATTGGACGGCTAGAGACTTTGTTCCTATTATTTTCATCCAGGAGTAATTGCCTTTTTGTTTTTTGGGATATGTAATTGTTGTACCCCAATTTTTGCCCCTAAGATCCCTTCACCATACCATATTGATTCAATCACAACAAGATCACATTAGGGCTTTTGGTTCTCCTCACTATCTTTAGCTTTGTTCTTTGAGGAATCACCAAGCACCTTGACTTGTTTTTATTTTTTGATTATGCATGTTTTGTTTTTACTTTTCCTTTTAATTAATAAAATTAAATGTTGGTTTGTCTTACTTGTTAATAATGTAGGTAAAGGCAATGTGGCTTAGCAAGTTGATCCATGGGTTCATGAGTTTATTTCCATGCCCTAGTCAATAAAGCTTGAGAAGTTCAAACCTCATCATTGAAGTTATTTTGGAAGAAATGGCATGGCAAGGTTCATTTTGGTTCACCACATTTCAAAGTTATCAAGATTGATTCAAAAGTACAAGGGGTTGATTGAAGAAGTTGTCATGGTTGGACAAGGCCTTGTTCCCATTGGTCACAAGTGCACATTTCTCTCAATTATCAATATATCTAAGTGGTTTTGGTTGCTATGAGTTATAATTATCATCCTAAACAACTTCTATTAACAAAGAAAAAGTGTTGGTACAAGAAGTTTGTTCAAAATTGTCAAAGTTCCTCAAAGCATTTTCTTGATCTAGGAGCTAGGGTTTTGAACTTCAAAGAAGTATATCTTTCTCATCTTTTGGTACTTTTGAGTGATTCCAAATACATACTTCTCTTCAAAGGGTTATCAACAAATCACTTCAAAAGTTTCAAGGAGTTTTCACGTGGAAGAAACTTGATGATGAAGAAAGATTACAAGTCCCCCAGATGAATCCCCAATTTCCCATGTGTGACTTCAAATGATCATAACTTGGTCAATATTTATCACCTTGAGCCCATTATTTTTCCATAATGATCTTGAAGATATGAACTTTATTCCTTCTTTTATATGAAAAGTGATAAAATGGATGGAAGATGCCCTAAGGATACAAAAGATTATAGGTCATTTCATGATTTTTTGCCAACTTTAACAATTCATAACTCTCTCAATTTTTGGATATTTTGAATGGTTCAAGTCTCAAAATGTCATTCAAGAGGTCTATTTCATGCCATCTTTTTTGGTTAAGAGCAATTTACAAGTGGAAGGCCATGTTTGGATGCAAAACATTATAGGTCACTTTTGAAGAAAAAATTGAAATATAAAAGCTCCTAATCAAAATAAACTGAGCCTGTTACAACACTAATAAGACCTTTGTATAGACAATCAATCTCTTATAAAAAAGTCCTTTGTATACACTGTATACATATGGTGACTAATACTGAAGTAATCTAACAAATAGGCTGATTCAGTAAAAGAAAATGGTTATAAAGATTAGTGCAAGTTGTCCATGGCAAAGAAACGTGACATGTTAGGGAAAATAGCATAATGATTGTCCATGAAAGTACCCGATATTGCATTCAATATCATTGATAAGGTATAACAAATCTTTGAATAATTATGACAACTATTATCAACAATAGGAAATAAATTAAAACATAGATCTCACCGAACACAGTTGTTCATGAACAAAATCTACCAATTGTTGACTTGACAAGCAGTCCCTGAAATAATCAGATGAAATCAATGATTACTTTAAAATAGGAAGTATGAAGGGGCATGTGCAACCAAACTATTTCAAAATCAAACCAAGTGTAAATAATATTTTCGCAGATAACATTTTATTGGGCAAATTATTAATCTCTCAGATAGACACAATGTTCTTAATCAAATGGACATATGAAAGCATAAGAAGAGTACCATAGGTAAGTTACCTATAGCTCTTGTAAGGTTTAAACTGCCATTTACTGTTCCTGCAAGAATAAAACCACCAACTTTTGAAATTGTTTCCTTCTCAATCTCAAGATCAGGCTTGTGGTCTCTAGACAGATTGTGTGCCTATAGAAAAGAGCAATATTTATACAATGTGTGTAATTATTATGCACAAGATCTGTAATTTCGATAAAACTGAGAAATGTAATTATGATCACAACATTTCGGTTTAGCAGCTATGCGACATGATTCAATATCTTTAATCCATAACCTACATTTTCATTCCACATGCTCTTCAAAAGTATTGTCTAACTTTCAAGATCATGTCACGCCGAATGTGACTATCAACATTCAAGTTATCGTCTTCGGCTGGTATATGATCCTGCAGTAAAATGATGACCCAAAGGGTGATGAACATTACTGAATCATCAAACAACTAAATAATAAGCGTATTTCCCAAGTTTATCAATCTATGAATAAGGAAATATAGCCTTCAGACCACTCCCCTTTTAAATGGAAAATAGTATAAATCGATAATCCGACAATGATGATAGTAATATCCCAAAATTAATTTTCAGTCTCAAATTCTTAAAATACTCACAAAACTCATAACCAACTAGAAATGAAAAGGAGAAAACTTATCTTTTATTGCCGGTATCGATGCTGCGATCCTCTTTTCGTTTCGATTTGGTCGAGCACGCTTCACATTCGATGAACACTATGAGAGATTTGATTAGTTTCGTGAATCTCATTATTTCCTTATCCTAACATTCGATGTCGTAGAATACTCAACAGTGAATACTCAGTAGCAGGCCTTGATAGCCTCTAGCTAATGCAGTGCTTGAAATCCAGCCTCTCTATAACAAGGTCTGCTTACTGCATAAATCAGCAAAATCATGAGCATATGTTTTGGTTTACAATGACTATTCTAATCTCAAGAAAAAAGTTTTGAAATGCAAAGAGATGAAGCAGAAAGAGAAAAGGAGAGAGAGCGTGAATTGATTGTGAGGCAACAGTTTTGAAATTGGAAGAGAAAAGGAGAGATATATGTTATTTTTTAATTTAAATTAAAATTAAAATTAAAAATATTTATAGAGACAAAAAAAACATATTTAATTTTTAAAATAAAAAATAAAATACATGAATTAGATATAAGAAAAGACTATGATATATCATGTCACAAATAAAATTTGTATAAAAAATTAAATTTTAAAAAAAAAAGTATCAAAAGAGTAAAAACAAAAGCACAAACCATTCAAACAAAATCCCAACAAAGAAGAAGATAAAAAAAAAAAAAACACATTTCTTGATTTCACTGTACTCCATTGATTCTCCTTCTCACCTCTGTTTCCGATGATAACTCTTCGTCTCCAACTACCATTATTCATCTTCCTCCTTCAATTCGCTTCTTTTTCGAACGCTTCTTCTTCTCCTCATTCCAATCTCACACACATTTTCCATGTAAGTACTCATTCTCCTATTCCCTCTGAATTCTCTTTTTTTTTTTGTGGCTAATTTATTTATCTAAATCAGGATATTTTGAAGGCAATTTCAGCGAAACAAAACTGGGATTTAAACGATGTAACAATTTTCAACTTCGATCTTGCCAAAATTAGGTTTGGAACTTCTCAAAACTACGATTTCCGAATTGGTTCCGGTAAGAATAACTTCACCGTCAAATTCTCCGATCAAGTTGCGTCTTGGAGTAGCAAGTTCGCTACACCCAAACCGGATTTAGATTCTCTCATTAATCATCTCAGTTCCATTGTTTTCCTTGATGATGTTAAATTGGAAGGTCCCTTTGAGTTGAGGGTGGATGAAATTCACCACCTTTCACTCTCGTTGCCTGTAAGCCATTATTCAGATCTCTACTTGCTAATTATTGATTAAAGTTTGTTTTTTTTTTGTTGGATTTTGAATTTTTCTGTCATTATTCGCTTCTGTTATATTTATATGTATTTTTTTATTATCGGTAGACAAAGTGGTCATAACCTCTAGAAACTCACAAACACAAAATCGTGAGAGCTTCGAACCCTGGTGTTGACGTACAACCTAGTAATATCAGCTTTTGTCAGTTGAGTTAGGATTTGTGGACTCTCTTTATATGTATATTTAAATTGAGTGAATCACCAATTCGCCTTTCGAATAGGATTTGCAGACAGTATTATCTGATTTTGAATCATGTCAACCAACTTGGTCCTTAACTTGTATCTAATTTACTTTCAAATTAGCCGTTGAATTATACAACTTACTATCAAGTTTGTCTTTAAATTATCGCTTACTAGCAAATTAGTCTTTGAATTATATCAGTTACCGTCAAAATAGTCCTTACAAGTTAACAAAAGACCAATTTTGCCAACTTCATTCAAAACAGTTTTTTTTTTTTTTTTTTGCCTATTCGCAATTTCTGGAGGCGAATTGGTAATTAACTCTCTCTATTTAAATTTGATGGCACCAACACGTGTTGGTGTGCACTATAGACACTCGTGATTCCGTACAATCAGTTTATTTTCTCTGGTTATTACTAGGATATACATGTTAGTGTTTGTTTTATGTCTGTGTTGGTGGCTCATAGATTGTTGTTGCTGTTGATGACATATGGTTATCTTTTGTGTATATACTATTGTTACTATAGGATATAGCCTTAGACATTGTAGGCCTTGTTTGGATTAGCTTCTGACTCACGACTTCACAAGAACTTTTCAATTAAAACTATTGTATGGTTTTCTAATAATGAAAATTATAACTTTAAACATGTTTATGGAGATAAAAAGTGAGAGAGCTTCCAAGAAAAGTTGAAATGTTGATGCTATTTTCAAATTATACTAGAAGCTGTTGTTTAAAATACTTAGATATTTAGCTTTCTTACATGTTCCCTACACAGGAAGTGATCCTGTTCATAGTTACTTAAACTATTCTTATGATATTTTGACCCCCCATAAAGGCTTCTAGGTTTGTTAAGTTTTTCCAAATTGGATCTCAATATATTGCTGCTACTACCATGTTCATCTTCTTTTTGTAACTAATGATGTCTCAAAGTCAAAAATGGCTTTGCATTGGTGCCTTTCAAAAAAAAGCTTACTGCCATTTCTGTCTTTGCAATTTATTTTTTATACTGTAGTTCTGCTCAATAGTTTGTAAAGATTGAAAGTTTTGACCATTCATTCACAACATTACTGTTCTATATATCTATGACAATGTATAACATGTCAAGTAGCAGTCTTGAACTCTTGATATTCAATAACTCCAAGTTCTGTTTGCAGATGAATGTTTCACTTACTGGTTTAAAACGCATAATTGTTGGTGAAGGTATTACGGTCGAAGTAAAAAGAGCACGGGAAATCTCTTTTTATTACCGGTCGGATCTTGATCTCCAAATGAATGCAAGTGTTCTGCGTAGCAAAGGGAAAATTGAGTTTTGGCCCTTTTTGCAATCTACATGCGTGCCTCTAATTCCCTTAGGCGTAAAAGGTTCCGCATCATTGGTCGCTTATGGAACTCGGAATCCTAATGCACATATAGGAACTAGATTGATTTCCGAAGACACTGTTGAGTTACTTCCAGAAAAATGTTACCATGGTTCTGTGTTTAGAACGCGAGCATGCCCGGTTGCTTCCTCAAGTTTGAGATTAAGTATGTTGGAGAAAATTTTAAAAAGTCTTCTTGGTCATAAGATCCTTCAAGATCGATTTTCTGGCCTTATCAAAGCAAATATCAAAGCATGTGCTGCTGTAAAGTTCCCCCTTGAATTGGAAAGAGACATAGGAAAAAACGCCACTCTTAGTACATTGCCAGATTGGAGAACAAGGCCAAGTGTCGAAAGGGTCTGGTTTGAGATATTAGCTAGAGTTGAAGAAAACAGACTCAAGCCTCTTTCAATCAAGAAAGTTAAACCTTTTATTGAATCTAATTCAATTTCTTGGGCTAATTTAGTGTCTAATATGTCGTATACAAAGTTGCGGCCAGTTCTTCTTCCTCCAGAAGCTCTTACACTGGATGTGAAATGGTAGGAGTTCATCTTGTGTAAGTGTGATACAGATGCTCCTTTTTTTTTTTCCACTTTGTAGGCGATGTTTGTAGATTTAGTCTTGTTTTATACAAGAGTTCGTTAAATCTTGTAAAATACCATTCATGCACTCACAGTCGGTCTTGTAAAATACCAAAACAAAAGTGAAGAAAGTAGTCTAAACTGAGCTGGCGTGTTAATTTGCATTGTGTATTTTTTTACATAGCTAAAGGGTTGCAGTGTTTATGAAGAAGAAGAAAAAAAAATCAGTGGACAAAATATTGAATGTGAGGTGTGCTTTCTTGTCAACTTTGTTGAAATATGCAAAGAACTTAATCATGATAAGTGTATTATTTAGAAATGTGGGGGTGAGTAAAGTTGTTTCAAAAAACAAGAGAGATTAATTCTCAAACAAAAGCAGTTAAGACACTTGAATTGGCAGATGAAAATCTCTTAAAATCCCAAAATATTCTTCGAATATGTATATTCGAATGAATTTCTATATTTTATTTTTCGAGAGTTTTTGGATATTCATATATGAAATGACTTAATATTTTGTCTTTAGGAGATATATCTGAAATAATTCAATATTTCAATTTTATTTTGAATTTAATTTGTAATCATTCTAAATCTGAATGATATTTATTTTAAATACATACAATTTTGTTGTTTTTATTTATTTCAGATTTGTTTTTACTATATTTAAAAAAGAAATAATTATAGTTTTAAATTAAATTAAGACTTATATTAAAATATAAATATAAATATAAATATAAATATATATATATATATATATATATATATATATATATATATATATATATATATATATATATATATATATATATATATATATATATATATATATATATATATATATATATATATATATATATATATATATATATATATATATATATATATATATATATATATATATATATATATATATATATATATATATATATATATATATATATATATATATATATATATATATATATATATATATATATATATATATATATATATATATATATATATATATAATTTCTCCACTTTGTTTAAAAAATAAATGTTATATTATAAATTTGTTCTAGTTATTTGTATAAATTTTACGAAAGAAATAAGATGAAATTTTTTTCAAAGAGCTGTTTAATATAATTATTATTCATAATGTATGCTTAACTTCTTTCAATTTGAAAAATACATAGTTTATTTTATTTTGTTTTAAATAAATTACTATTTTAATTTGAGATAGTTTTAAAAGAATACAATAAAGTTGTTTAAAAAATTTAAAGTCTAAATAATTTATTCTAAATAGGAATTACTATTGTAATTTATAATTTATTTCTAGCATGTTATTTTGATAAATGATTATTTTACAAAGTTAATAATAATTAGAGATTTTAATTTTAATGTCAAATTATATGTTTAATTCAGATATGTATATCTGAAAATCCTCTAAAAATGAAATATTGGGTTATTTCAGATATGCATATATGAAAATCCCCTAAAAATTAAATATAAGAGTTCGTTCGAATATGCATATCCGAAAATCCTCTAAAAATAAAATATTAGATTCGTTCGGATATACATATCCGAACTAAGGAGATATTACAGGAATTTCATCAAGAGCCCCTAACAAGACTTAAGAGTAGATAAAGAATTCTCTTAATTAATTTTTATCCTATAACATCAAACTATTGGATTGTGACTTTGTGGGGTTGCTTGATATATGAATTCACATTGCAAATTAGAGAATTGCTTAAGGCATCCTTAAGAATTGCTTCCCCATCCTAGTAAAAAATAAAAATTAATTATAAAATTTGGAAATGTATATTTGAATGTACTCATTCACATTTGTTTTTGAGCCAAGTTTTACAGAAATGTATTTCTGTGTAGCTTACAAAGATATATCTACATAGTCTGTTTTAAAGGCACCCGATCTTTCTTCTTTCTTCTCAACATACTCCCTTAAAACACAAACTCTCAAAAATTTCGAAACCTTTCAATTCTCAAACTCTTTTAACTCACATTCTCTCAAACTCATTCGACTTATTTCAGAAAATTTATCATTAACATTCAATCGATCAAAGAGCTCACTCAACATCAGACTAAATTCACATTTGATAAATTTTTATTTTTCTATACTTTTTTATTTCTATATACATTTCTGTAAATTGAGTATTAGGTTATGTAATAGGTAATTTAGATATGTTAGTTAAATGAGCAATGTGTATGATAGATGGTTTAAATGATTAACACACTATTTTGGATGTTGGGATGAATTGCATTTCTGTTATTTTCGTGATTTTGAGTTATAGAACATTATGAAGATGCATCTTTGAATTATTTCAACGTTTTGATTTCCAGAATTTGAAGATGCATTTCTGAATTTGATTTGTCTGCATTATTTTACTTTACTTCATTGTGTATCTTCGGTATAATGCTTGTGTGGTTTAATTATAGAATTATGGTTGACAAGTAAGATAGATTGAGATAAGAAGAGTTGCGCTACATGCATCAGTTCAGAGAGAAAAAGTTTGATCATCGCATGCACCGACCGATTATATCCCAATTGATGCAGATGCGTCAACTTCAAGGACTCGTGTATCTTTGTCTTCGTCTTTTTGTAGGAGACACATGTCACCTACTGAGGCACTCGAGGCATCTCAGACACATGAGAGGTTTGGAGGAGGCTTGTCAGACTTATCGTTGCTGCCTCTATATTTAAACCATGCTGCCAGACATGTCTGAGACAGCGAAATAAAATTCAATTGGATTTATTCTTTGAAAAACATGTTTTGTTATAATATTCAAAAAACTTAACAAAGATTTATTTTTCTACAAGAATGTGATGCTTTAAAATGCATTAAATATGGTCGAAATATTACAAATCATTCGTAGCCTGCTAAGTAGTGGTTTCAGGATCTGATGCAATTATCTGGATGGAAGACTTGCACATAATCGATTATATTACAGTTAATAATGGTATGTTATCCGCGTTTGTAGAGAGATGACATTTGGAGATGTCATATTTTCATCTTTCACATGATGAGATGTCTGTCACATTGGACGATATCTCATGCCTATTGCATCTTCCGACCAGGGGAGACTGTTAGACCATGACAAGTATATAAAAGATGAGGCAGTGGAGATGATGGTGAACATTCTGGGAGTTGGCCTAGAGGATGCCTTGCAAGAGATATAAACCACCTGAGGGTGTTATGTTAGGTTTTGATTCTTGGAGAGGTTGTATACATAACAATTGCATGCGACAAAGTAGATTTCTAGTGATGATGAGCATGTTATGCATCATATAGCGTGCATTGAATGCATACCTATTGTACTTTGTTGACATATCCATTTTTGTGGACAAGAGTGCCACTCATGGGAGTGTGGTTTACCTAAGATACTTCACTGACTTGAAGTGGATCCATGAGTACAACTAAGGGGCATTTGTTTGGTCTACATGTACTCCAAGTTAGTTGAAAGTTGTATGTGGAATACCAAATAGATGACAGACAACACCACACTGTTGACAGTAATATATCTACATTTTCAATAATATTTCTACGTTTTTAGTGTTTGTGTTCCATTTTCATAACACTTTTGCTACGCCGTTACTAATGATTGATATGTACCATTTTCAGGCTTGGATCCTCCAACACTTTCCACACATATTTGACCAGTTATGTGCTTTGAACTACATTGAAGATATGCCACGTGCTTCTGGATTCATTATGCTCAGAGAGAATCGAAAAAAAAAGCCATTTAAAGTGTATCTTGACCACTTGGTAGCAAAGGATATACACTTCCAAGCATACATATATCACTGTGAGACGCATCCCTTAGATGACATAACCTTCTACTCTGGATTGTTGACTTGCGGGTCACGTATATTATATTTCCATGTGCTTGAGTGCGTCATATGGCAGTCGACTACATGCAATTTGTTTATAAAGACTCCTATAATTCTGCCCCTCCCACTATGCCATGGAGAGATGTAAATGCCATTTTTGATGATTACCTTAATCATCTGATACCTAATGAGGAAAGACGTACCATAACTTCTAACGACTAGAGTGTTGCACACAGTTATATTCAATAATATTTCTGGGTGTCACATCCTTATATGACATCGGATGTTCTGGGAGATCCATATAGGCCAACTCATCAAGAGATATTAGAGGGGGGGTGTGTTAAGGTTGATAATGTTGTTGATGTGTTCCCTAGATGTCATCATGTCATGGATATTGCATAGGCTGATATATACATTGGAGTCTTTCTGGAAGGCTCTAAGGCGAAGGATATTCTAGATACCATCCTGGATGAGGAACAATCGGTAGTGCAGTACATGAGGCATCGTAGAAACACGGGGGGGGCTCGTGTTTGGCATATGCAGTAGTATATATTATTTATATTAGAAACACTATTATCGATTATATTTTATTTTGACTTCATTATGTATTACATAATTATTTATTTATATATGTCATTTTCATATTATTATAAAAAAGTATGGTTTAATTTATATAAAATTGAATATGATAGTATAGCTATAATACATTATCAATTTCATCAGTGTATCTCTAAAACAAAGTAAAATATTTATGTCTGGTGTAAATATGAAAATGCATCTCCATATTATCTTGAGTGAATACGAAGATGCATCTCTGAATCAAATTATCTGAAAATGAGTGTGTCTCAGTTAAAAATACATGGGGTGCGTATAGAGAAAATATGAATATGCATCTTCAAACTAAGTTTTGACAAACATATGGGGCGAGACTCACCTAAAACGTATTTTGGTGTGAAAATAGCACGTCTGAAAATGCATTTCTGAATTATGAGGGATATTTTTGGAATTCTTGGGGTGTTTTTCCACCACTTAGGGTGGGATAAGTAATTCCCACAAATTTATGAGAGTTCCAGCAAGTTATGGTACGTATTGGCCCGTTAAGGTATTAAGCTCGAAAAAATCTACCTGGCATCCCTTTACCTCATCCTGGTACCTCACATATTTTAATAATGTCAAAAATATCTCTCTTATTATTTATCTCTCTCAAAATTTACAGTTTGTGCAAAATTTTCACTCTAAAAAAACCAATAAAACGTTAAAAAAAATTGTAGTATTTTTGAAAAATCAATGAGTTTTTACCGAATTATTCAAAATATTTGATGTGTAGTTATGGTTTATCAGAATTATCAAACTTTTGGTATATCAGGTGTTTCTTCCACCCTTAAAAATCCAATAGTAATATTTTTGTACGATTGTGATTTTACAAATACTTTTGTAGGGTTATGATTGCACCGATACTTTCGTATGGTCCATAATGATTTCGAACTTGTATAAATATTTTTTATATGTTGCTAAAAAAAGCACCCCATAATGTCTATTTTGGCATCTAGCATTTGTTTACTTCAACACCATGAGTACTCCTTTTGAATTTAGGGTCATAAAGGACACATCTCTTATAGATCAAAAATCCAAACTATATAATCTCTTGTATTACCTAGACAATCGAAAAGTGGTTAAAATTTAGTACTATTCACAATCAATTGATAATTAACAAGATGCAACATGTATACCCTAGCGGTCTTGTAACCTCTTTATATATAGAATGCTCCACTAATGACTGATAAGTAACCCAAAGCCAAGAAAGACGGAAACGCGAACCCCTGTTAGCCTTGAACTCTTATGATGCCATCCCCCATGTGACATCCATGTATGTCTCAACAATCATACATACAATCTCCTTATTCAAAAATAGAGGGATGAAGAAGTTATCAGTGATGAGGATGGAAGAGGCTAGAGACGTCATCCATGGTAATCTTCATCTCACCAAAGGGAAGATGAAATGAAGATATCTCCTTATGTCATTTCTAAAAAAAAGCAGATAACAAAGAATCGTCAAACATGTCGAGTGAACAATCTATAACCTTATTAGGCATCATCAATAATCACCATAACCTTATTAGGCATCTGCATTGTTGAGAATTTCTTCAACTTCAACCCATGAGTGGAGACATTCAATGGAGCACGGTCATGTAACAAATAAAGCATTTCATTAGTTATTTTCAAATAACCACTAATAAATAAAAATAACTTAAATTAAAATATTTGTACTTCTCTCCGCCATAATCTAAATGTCACATGATTGGGGTACCTATTGAGAAAGGTAGGGTTAGGAGGCTCTCCAGAGAACTCCCTATCTATATTAGCTTGAACATGCACCTATCAGTCTGAATCGGCACCTTCATATCAATCAAATTATATATCTATGTATGAGTCTGAATCGACACCTCTATATCATCCCGAACAGACACATATGCCTCAACATCATCAATAACGAAAGCATATGACTAATCATCATGATCTTTGGACCAATCAACTCTATCTTCTCTACGTTGGAGAGTACATGATCCACGAGACTGCTCGATCCACCCGTGGTGAGAACCGGTGGAAGCCACTCTCTTTGCCTTAGTCTGCAAATGATTGTCTTCATCATCTCCACTACCTCCACCAAAGTTTTCTACAATAGGTTTGTTGCTCAATATAGGTATGATTTTGTAACATCTTCCTTTACTCCTTACTAAACACAAAAAAAAGATCAAAAGAAATTTAAAAAAAAAACACTCTAACTTACCGGAGTTTTGGAAAATGTGGCCACACCCGCTACGTATACCGAATTTTGAAAACCTTGATAACCAAAATTATAAACTCACAGGAAATTTAGAAATATCCGATAGTAGTATATACATTTTTATTGGAAATTTGTAAATATTTGATATGAAATATGTACTTTTATCGGGTATTTTAAAAATTCGATAAAAACTCATTTTGTTTATACTAAAGTTTTAGAAAAATACGATAAAAATACTTTTTTTTTGGATAACACCAAATATTTTCACAAATGTGATATAACTCCATAAATTTGATATGAAATTTTCAAAAAATTATTAAAAAGCATGTTTTAAATAAAAAATCTCGTTTGCTCAAAAATAAAAAAATAAAAAAATAATTTGGTATAATAGCAAAGAAATCATAAAAACACAATAAGTTAAAGGAAAAACAGTATTAGATATTTTTCAACAAATCTATGAGTAAAAACGTTGTTTTTTGAAATCTTTTTAATAAACACTAGTAAAGGACCTGTGCGTTCGCACGGATCACACAATCTATAATATATTTTGATGTATGTTGGTTGTGAATGTTGTGCATTAGGATGGATATTCTTCAAATGGTATCCATTTAATAATCAACATGTTGTTCACATCTATTTGTTTGAGGGAACAAAATATGTATATCAACATGTTTAAGATGTTACCCACCATCGACTTGCATATTCAAACCTCTTGTTAATTTCATGTGTTTCTTCATAGTATATATATCGAAGAATTGCTTAATCTGAATTGAAACAAAAAACACTATGAAAATATTAATGAAAGTTTATTAGTAAGATAAAAATATATAATTTTAAAAAAAATGTTATAGTTTATATATTAAATGATTAGAGTTTAAGGCCTAGAAAATATATAGTAATAATAATAAAACGAACAAAGAAATTAAATAAAATACTACATTTAAATTCGATTGTTAAAGAAATTTAATATTTAAAATGGATTGTTAGAAAAATGGAAAGATTAAAATGGATTGTTAAAAAGAAACCGAACATATAAAGTGCTATTTGTATGTTCAAAGTTGTCATTGGAAAACATACCTTATTATTGAGGTATGTTCTACTGCAAAAATTTCTTAAGTTATTGAACATGATTTTGTGAAACTTTAGTTGATGTTGTTAATAAAGATTTATGTTATGAACAATTGGCTATAAAATTTAGGGATTTAGATTTAGAATGTTAAACAATATTAACTGATGTTCACACATAATTTCATTTTTAAAATCTTTTATTATATACAGTGTATTTAAAAATTGATATATAGAGTTTCATTCATCAACAATGAAGAGGCAATGGAAATCATTGGTGGATTAGTTGTTGATATCGGGTATGTTCCACTAAAGGGAAAGAAAGCTGCCAATAAACTTTCCACCAATGAAAACCCTGCTGTAACAATCACAAAGGGAAAGGAAGCTGCGAAGGAACTTCGTACAAATGACATTGATGTCATGACAACCACAAAGGGAAAGAAAGTTGCTAAGAAAGTTTGTAGCAATGACATCCCTGTTGTGACAACGCCGAACATCACTATTGTTCCCACCAATACTGAAAATATTGTAATTCATCATATTAAGGAAAAATCGGTTGAAATCACCTATGAGGATATATATAACATATAAGTTGTGAAATTCAGCAAAAAGCAGAATCCTGGAAGTGTTGAAAACACTTCTGCAACAAAAGTAAGGTATGCAAAGAAAAAAAACTATTGAGAAACCGAGACTCGCAAATAAAGGTAGACATAAAACTGCTTGGGGAGAAAAGGTGTCAAAGGGAACAAAGAAGAAGTTTGTGTCTAAGGAAGGAAAACATAAAGCTCTCAGTAAAGCAAGGGTGGCAAATGAAATTACAGAGGAGTGGTCAATGGGGGCTAAGAAATTTAAATGGAAGAGTCACATAAGAAACGCCAAAAGCAGTGCAAACAATGTCATGGTAAGTATACAATTTTATATGATATAGAATATGTTAATGGGCAAACAATATATGACTTATTTTGTTATCACTTTTATATACATGCAGCATTTTCCGAGGACAATAGCTAAAAGATGCATTCGATTCAAGCAAAAGGAAATCAAAATGGTGGATGTGGATACAAAAAAAGTTTTTACATGTTAGGTTCATACAACTATAAGGAATAATGAACCAAACACATATGAAAAGTACATGACATTTGGATGGTACAAATTTGCTTAGAGTAAAAAAACTTTATAATGGTGATACGTTTGTTTGGAGTATGTTGCGTTTTTCTTCGTACATGTGCGAGAAGTTGGAAAAGAGCTGAATGGGTCGTTTTCAGGTTGTTTGTTTGATAGTATGATGAAATTATGATGTTTGTTTATTTTGGTCTCGATCTTTTGTTTTGGGAATGCTTTTTAATATATCTTATTGATGCTATTTTGGAACAACTTCTGTAAAAATTGCTATGTAATGATTTTAATTTAGAATGGTTGGAATCTATATTATAAACTCGATGCTTTTAATTTAACATCATATGTTATTTGGTTTTATATATCTTTATGATGTACAAGGATTGTGTTATAATATTTTATATAGAAACAAAAATAAAGTTTAAACATGAGTCTTATGATCATTACAGTAAAATGAGAAATGCAATTTTTTTAATTGTGAATCTTGAAATTATGTTATTTGGTTTTATATATGTTTATGATGTATATGGATTTTGTTATAATATTTTATATAGAAACAAATTTAAAGTTTAAACGTGAGTATTATGATCATTACACTAAAATGAGAGAGGCAATTTTCTTTCATTATCATTCAAACATAGTTACAATTTGGTATCAAATATAAATAGATAATTATATAAAAATTTGAGTAATGCAAATAAGTAGTTATTACAATAAAATTCAGCAAACAAAGATATATTGAATTTTTCAGAACCAGTAATCATTGGGTAGGCCCAAACTCGATCATGACTAATTGTACTAAAAGTCCATTTTCAGCTTTCATAGTGGACTGACTTTGCCAAACTGGTTGGTTCTAACTGGACATGAAATCTTGGATTTTTGATTTCTTTATGAATAAGTTTCATATTTTGATATGTTTTGATGAATTGTAATCTTTGAAACTTGATTTTAATAAAAAAGTCAAAGTTTGACTTTTCAGTGCATAGTTGACTTTTCATCAGTTGACTGAAATGCATCTGTCAATCAATTGATCTTGAGAAATGTTTTGAGACATGTCAATAGGTCAAAATGATGCATTTGAATCCTTGAGATCATGTCTCAAACCAATAAATCATTTACTAGGTCGAAAATCAGAAATTGCACCTTCCCAGTCAAAACCCTAATTTTGACCATTTTTCCCTTTTGATGTCCTGATCAAATTTCTTGAGGAATTGAGATCCAAACTTGATCAATTGACATATATGAGTTCATGATGCTGATATGGATAAAAAAATTATGAAGTTTGACTGCAAATTGATCATAGTTGACTTTTTTCCCAATACAACTGATTTTTAGGTCAACTGATCAATTGACTGAGCAAAAATGTGATCCAAGACTTGAAACATGACATGAGCAATATTGAGGGTTCAAAATGATACATGAAAGTCATATGGGGCATTAAAAGTCCATTTGTCCTTGTCCAAACTCAAACCCTAATTTTCAGTTATCAGTGCTTGAGGAGGTGTCTTGAGCTGACCAAACTTTATGCAGTCTTGAATCAATAGAGATCTTGTGAGAGATTACTTGAGAAACGAGAGAGAAAATTTTGGGGTACAACACACGGCGACCGAAATATCCCGAGAAGTCAGATCTCAATGAGTGTAGTATCGAGTATTAACTAATTTCGGACTGCACCAAAGCCGGCTGTCTCAATACGTCCTAATGGCCAAGTTGGTCAAGTAAAGGTTCTAAAGTCAATTAGTGCTTCATGAAACCACACAGAGGCCCTGTATTCTCCTTGACTATTCAAGGGCTACCGGTACCCACAAATGTGTCACACTAACGTAGTTATTTCTTAGACCATGTCGGTATACCCCGCACAATTTCCACAACGTATTGCTACTTACCTATAAGGTATCCCAAATCCGGGTAGAGGATTAGAACAAGCCCAAACAAGGAACCAAAATATAAAGCAAACAAAGAAAACAATGAAACCAAGTAAAGGTGATCTATCCCTAAGGTAACCCCACTTTTAAGTTTCTCCCCAGCAGAGTCGCCAGTTCTGTGATACGGTAGGAGAACTGACTTGGTTGTTTTGCGTTTGATTGCAAATGTTGCGGTTAGCAAGAGTCTCCACCGACTTTTCTTTTATTCAAAAGGAAAGGCTGAAAAGAATAGAAAATACCTTTGAGATTATTTATTTATTTCGGGGGATAGATTATGACAAGGAAAGGTATTAACACAATTTTCATCCATAGTTATCTATGGGCTCTTAATTGCTTGCTAGATCACTTGCTTTTGTTTGAAAATGTGCTTTGTGTGGTTTTTGAAAGTATTTTGAAAAGGTGCATTCGTTTAGGAAAACTTTGTAATGGTTCTCATTCGTAAGAACGTGTGATACGGTGGGAGAACTGACTTGAGATTTTGCGTTTGTGTTTGCAAATGTTGCGGTTTAGCAAGAGTCGCCACCGACTTTTATTTTATCCAAAAGGAAAGGTAAAAAAGCACAGGAAAGACCTTTGAGATGTTTTCTTGAGTTCGGGGGGTAGATTATGAAAAGGGAAGGTGCTAGCACCCTTTTCATCCATGGTTTTCCATGGGCTCTTAGTTACTTGTTTAGATCACTTGCTTTTGCTTTGAAATTGTTTGAAATGGTGCTTTGTATGGTTTTGAAATTATTTTGAAAAGAGGCCATCGTTTAGGCAATCTATGTAATGATTCCCGTTCGTAAGAATGTATACAAAGATGTTTGTCTTTTGAAAAATGTTTCAATGTTTTGAAAGTTGTTTGGAAAATGTTTTGAAATGTGTGTGTTTGTTTGAAAATAGCAAGGATTGTTTGCAAATTGATCAAGTAACTAGAAGCTTCTACCTACTCAAAAAGTCTTTCTTGTACATTTTTATTCCTTTGATATTATTGATTTACCATTGATTTGATAAACAACCCTATCTTTGGATGTTAAACGGAACGGGCGTGGGTCATCGTATGACCATTTTGATGCGGTGGGAGAACTGACTTGAGGTTTTGCGTTTGTGTTTGCAAATGTTTCGATTTAGCAAGAGTCGCCACTGACTTTTTATTTTATCCAAAGGAAAGGTCAAAAAGCACAGGAAAGACCTTTGAGATATTTTCTTGGGTTCAGGGGGTAGATTATGAAAAGGGAAGGTGCAAGCACCCTTTTCATCCATGGTTATCCATGGGCTCTTAGTTACTTGTTTAGATCACTTGCTTTTGCTTTTCAATTGTTTGAAATGGTGCTTTGTGTGTGGTTTTGAAAATGTTTTGAAAAGAGGCCATCGTTGTGGCAACCTTTGTAATGATTCTTGTTTGAATATATACAAAGGTGTATTGTTTTTTGAAAAGATGTTTCAATGTTTGAAAGTTTGGAAGTTTGTTTTGGGAAATGTTTTGAAATTGTGTTGTAAGGTGAGTTTGAAAATAGCAAGGATGTTTTGCAAGTTTTGATCAAGTAACTAAGAGTTGTCTACCCTATCTACTCAAAGATCTTTCCTACACATTTTTAACCCTTTTGACAGTGTTGTTTTACCACTGCATTTGGTAAACAACCTTGTATTAGGATGTTAAACGGGACAGGCGCGGGTCATCGTATTGACCATGATAGCAATTGTGCTAAGTATCTTTAGCAAATTTTGAGGGACTAAATCATTTTTGTATAGGCAACCAAGATAGCGTCATCGAGGGACTATGATCTTTTATTTTGTTTTTGTTTTGCCAAGATACTCAACATGCATAACATGGCCATTTTAAAGGCAACAAGTGGATGAAACCCTAGGGGTGCATGTGTGCATTGTGTTGTCAATTTACATGCTTTTAGGTCTTGTATTAGGTCAAACTATTTGTTTTGATTTTGGATTTTGCATACAAACCCTAATCTCTATCATGGCATATTTGAAGGTTATAAATGCGTAAAATAAATCTATACTATTACAACATTTGATATGGGAAGGGGGAATACAATTTTGAATGGGGGAGTATTTGCAAGAAAATAAAACCCTAATATTTACTATTACATCCAAATTGAATAAATGATATCAAATAAATGAGCAATATTTAAATAAACAATTTAAATATAAGTATGCAAAATGTTATAAATATGTAAAAGATGTTTTTGTGTTTATTTTTTATGTGTATAAAAATATAATATTTAATATATTAAAAAAGAATTAAAAGATTATTTTTATTAAGGGTAAAAACCCTAATTTTTTTTAAGAAAGTAAATATATATTAATTATATTATTCATGTACAATAAAATAAAATAAAATATATACAAAATAAAAATATATTAAAAAATATTATTATTTAAGTAAATAATAAAAATAAAGGCACAATATTTTTATGTATTATCTTCAAGATTTTTTTTGTTAAATAAAATAAAGGCATGTTATCTAAAAATTATTTTCATGTTTAGAAAAATAATAAAAAAATATAAAATAAAATATGAAAATAAAATAGAAATACAAAAATATGCAAAATAATAGAAATGGGCCAAGGGAGGTGTGAACAGCAGGCTAAGGGGTGCAAACATCATGGAATGACCAGGCCCAGCCTAGACTTCATCTTCAACCTTCGTTCAAACACAAAAACGCGCGCCCTGTAACTCCAATCCTGTTCTCTCTATTCGTTGTATGAATCAAAAACTCAAAACATGAAACTTGTAGAGCATTAAACCACGATTCTAACCATATAAAAAACTTGATCTAACTCTCAAAGACCAGAGAGAATTTCTCTGGCCCTAATTTCTAACCTAATTTTTTCAGGAAGTTCATGAATCAAAGTCTCTTAACACGTTTAACTTAAATGAAATCTAAGCATATGTACAGCTTCAAGGCTATGAGTACTACATTTTTTATTCACAAACCTAAGCCTAATGATTCCTAAATAGAGAGATAGGAAGTTGCAAAATACCTGTTTCAGTTGAACACGAGTATGGCAATGTAGAGCTTTACAGTGAGGCCTGAGATGCTTGG